TATGCACGTACCGGCACCAATCCTCAAAATGGGCGCCAAAACCCATGTGGTACCCGCGTACGGGTCCGCCAAAATTTCTTCCTGGTAAGTTCATAACTCGGGGATCTGAGAAGCTAGAACGCTGAAATCTTAAGGCGATGTTCCCCGTCCAAGCGGGTCAAAACTAGCCCCCGAATGAGAGTAGTACCCGCATACGGGACCGCCAAAATTTTCTTCGGGTAAGTTGATAACTCGAGTACCTGAGAAGCTGAAGGACTGTAATTTTAAGAGGATATATCCTGTCCACCTAAGTTTCATTCATCTCGAACCTATCTCTCGGATATGCGTGGCAAACACTCACGGAGCCGTAAAAATTTTTTTTCAGTAAGTTGCTAACTCAGTAGCCAGGAAGCTAGAAAGCTGAAATTTTGAGGGGGTTTTTCCTGACAGCTCTGGCGGCCAGTCTTAATTTGTATAGCTAGAAGCATTTGCCGAAAAAGCCGGTGCCGGTAGCAACAAAAATTGCGGAGAACTATGCAAAAAACGCATCTTCGCACGGGCAGCTCGTGCGTTGGCCAGTTGTTGTAATAAAGATAGTTCGTCTTGCCGACAACCGGTGGGTGATGTGCATTAGTGAGCGGTACCCGCGAGAAAGTAGATGATCACTTGAGTGAGCCCCGAAAAGGCGGCACACATACGTTGAACAGAGAGTGGGTACGAAATGGAGGATATAGAGCGCGGCTGAAAAGCCTGGCCTAGCTGCGCCCGTGTGTGGGATCATTCCAGTAATATCATTAACACGGAACACAAATTGATACACCGACGATCTTGGTACTAGTAACAAATATACAGCAGTGACACAATTAGAGATCCGGCTTTTTTGCGGACGCGATACATCAAAATCACTGTAAAGGACGAAAATATGGGAAATCCAGGGAATTATTTTCAGCAGGTAAAGACCGTCACGTTTAAAAGAAGCCAAACTGCGTCGAAGGACAGTATATCGAGAAGCTTGATAAATGTAGAAGAAAGCCGGTGCGTAAAGCCAATTTCAAACAAGGTATACGAGCGAAAAAATAATTCCGGCGCCTAGGAAGTTCGGAAGATGATTTCGAGCAGCTGTGCTAAGAAAGCCTTAAATTTTTGGCTTTTATATTAGTATGAAAAAATCTTTTGTTTTGGCCAAGAAGATGAAGGAAAGACAAAGAAACTGAGAAGTCCTGAATCAAATACTCTTCTACTAGCTAGTGGCCTGAATACAACGATGCTTCAAGCATTACGTGAAACCTTTCCCCTCTTGGCTATGTGAAATCATAGCTGTGGGATACAACTACCTCCTGCGCTTACCAATCTCAGTATTGCTCGAATTAGCGATTTAAAACTCAGAAAAGATCCCAACAAACCAAAAAAAATTTCTAGGCCCTTTGCTTTTTAGTATTGTCACATCTTCATCGAATTTTTGCAGAACACAAAAAGTGTTCCCTTCATCACTGCCTTCAGCTTCCTGCTGCCTTCTCACGCTTGCCCCAGCTTCAAAATCGTGCTCGAAGGCATTTTCTGGGCTCTCCATTATGTGGCAAGAAGGGAAAATAGATAAATGACGAAGGAAGACACCAAACTGCCTATTTTGGGCCTTTCGGGAAGAAACAATTAATTATTACTCTCTGCTGCTCGGCCCGCCCACCCTCTTCCATCCTCTTCCTCCACCCTCAAATTACCTTCCTTCGACTCAATACTTACCAATTTTTATCGATTTTAACCTTAAAAAAATATAAACCTCACGATAGAAAAATTATAAATAAATACAAAATTCTCACTCGAAGCTCTAATTGGTCCGAAAGAAGCGACATTCAGCTCATACGCTCGCAGATGAACTGAATTTCCTATATTTCCCTGTACTTTTTCCCCGCGAAAAAGAGCCAAAGAAAATAAAAATTGGCCTGCAAATGCAGAATTCTTTCAAATGCACTTTTCATATGAGAGATTTTTATAGTCTGGACAGCTTTTTATTTTAAACATTTGATAACAGGGATGCGTATTCTCAGTCCTCGATAGATTTAGAATGTGCACAGCGACTTCTCCAGTCCTTTTTGAAATGAAGCTTCTTCCCGGTCAATACTCATTTATGCAAATGGACTCCGTTTACGGCCAAAGCA